CTCACTTGCCATGTCATGTAAAAATTTCAAATATCCACCCTCCTGCCTTTCAAATTTAGCCGCCATCTTGAAATTTGGAGCACCCCCTTTGACTGGAGGGCTTTTATGACTCCAGAAATGAAATCTACGACCAAAATTACGTAGGGAATGATACCTCACAGGAACCTATATGCGCATTTTAAAAATTCACCCTCCTGCCTTTCAAAATTGGCCGCCATCTTAGATTTGGGGCACCCCCTTTGACCGGGGGACCTTTTTGACCTTATATCTGAATTTTACGACCAAAATTACATAGGGATTGATACCTCACATGACACTACATGCGCATTTTAAAAGACCGAAATCCCAGAGGCCTTATTATGGCCGCCATTTTGAAATTTAGCCACTTTGGGGGGTGTTCCGGGGTCGGACCGTGTTAAACTTTTGGTATGTTGTTCAGGAGAACCTACTGATGACGTTTACATAGGAAAAGTTTGTTAAGCAATTTGTTCCGGGTCAAATCGTATTCCTCCCTGATTAGAAAATCACCGAAACACTTACAAGTCAATATGGTCCCGGAATTCTACAACTCCAAATGTCAAGCATTGATGAAGCGTCACAAAATCAATATGTACGCTCATACTCGACAACCAAAGCCCCTTTTGTCTGGCGATTCAACCAAACACTTAAAACGAAGATGTGGAAAGAGTTCGGCGCCGAGGATCGTACAAGTGAGTAGATCTATTACCGAAACTCATTCGTGAATATAACGGGAGCGTTCATCGCACCATCGGGATGAAACCAATTGATGTTACCGAAAAAAAAGTACCGATGATCCTGCAAAAGTTTCGTGGGCCACTGCTGAGTAAAACCGAAAAGAGACGTCTGGCCAGACGAAAACTGAAAGCCGGTGATCACGTCTGGATCTTTAGGCTCAAAGCTATGATCGAGAAAAGATACACACCAAACTGGAGCACGGAAATTTTCAAGATTGTCAGCGTTATTCCGATCGTTCCGATGCGTACGATCTGAAAGACGCGCACGATACGCTCATCAAAGGAACATTTTACCGCGAAGAAAAACCAGGCATTTGTCAAATGGGTAGGTCTGGACGCGAGTCACAACAGTTGGATTGACACTAAGGATTTCGTATAAATAGTATTCACTCTCTTCCCCGTATCGTAAGGAAGAAATCATGAGCGATAAAATAATTCTCATCGCCATCGTCGTTGTTGGAGTGAATTCCACAGTGATAGAAAACTCATCCGAAGCAAACATCGCAATGTGCCCGATCTATCCGGTAATCAAATGCGCATCTCCTACCTTGACGGATGTTTTTCTATTCATCTTGAGTTTACTGGCGCTCATTCGTTCCGCTCCGTACCTGTACTCAAAGTACCTATCATCCGACTGCAAGTTCCGTTTCGCCAGGATGTCCCGTGAGAAAAACATTCGGAAAGTCGATGATATAAGTGTCGATTTAAAGTTCGGAGAAGGAGAAGGGAACGATGTTTATGGTTGACAACCCTAACGTTTTGTAACGCTGATGTTTTTCATAACCCGGGCGTTTTTAAACATGAACGTTTTTCAACGGTAACAATCGATTTCAAAAAAAAAAAAAATGTTTGATTCATCAAACTGAACATTCCAATAACCAAACCGAATTGCCGATATCAAAGTACAAGGTTTCGATACACATCTGCAAGCCCTTCGATATACACCTACCCGCCAATAAAAATTATAATCCCCGAATCAGACCTTACACTCTAGTCTCCGATACCAAACCCATCCCGGAGGAGACGGTTTATTGTTGCCGAAATTTTACTAGTACGAAATGCTGAATTTTTTGCACAATCTGACAACAATATACGGAATTTTTAATTTTTGCACCATCTAGCAACACTGTAAAATTCAATGCTGCCAAGTTACACCGATAGTTCGATATATCATTTATTTATGTGCACTGTCCAGCAACTCTGTTGCATAACCTATAAGTCGAGGGGGTAACATACAGCATTGCATAACACGCAGATTGAAACGGCTACAAACGCCATTGCATAACCTACAAGTTTAAGGGGCAATATACACCATTGCATAACGTACAAATTGAAGGGGTTATATACACAATGGGGTTGTTGCATGCATTTTTTTAAATTCAGTTTCTAGAAGTTGGTGGTGTGCCGATTGTTAAGGTTTTTTTTACTTTTCTGATGATTGGAACATGGAGAAAAAGCGTCGAAAGTTGAAAAACGATTTGAAACGGGGTTCCTTCCCGCGCCTCGAAATCACGTAACTCTGACGTCACAACGCACGGCCATGGGTTTTTGTTATCTGAACTGCGTGCTATATGAATTTTTAGAAAATCAGGAAAAATCGAGTTTTCCGACTAAGCTCATTTCTTTTATCGTGATGGATACCTGAAGATAAGATGAATCAATTACAGACTGGGTTTTTGGCTCTTCACGACGATTTCTGGGTCGGAAAGTGAGTTAAAATCGCTCCTTTCCCGTTTTCTTCACGGAGCGGAGGAGCCGTTCGGCGGTGAGCGGAGGGCGGTGCGCAGCAGCCGGCCCTGCTCGGGTTTCTCCGGCAGCGTCCGCTCATCATCGTAGCCAATCGCAGCTCGAGATGAACTTAACCTAACCTAACCTCCATTAGATAAACACGCGGTCATGATGTGGGTAATGGCGGCGAGGAGAGACTTCCGCGTAGTTTGACCAACTCTACTATCGCCAATGAAATCGTTTATTTTCAACTTGAATTTGATGGAACTTTGACGGTCTTTTTCGGGCTTAAGGACTTGATTTTTGACTTTTTGAACGTTACCATCGTTTTTATCGCGAAAAGTTTTATGACTACATATTTTTTATTCTCAAATCCCTCAACCATGCAACAACCCCATTGCGTATCCAGCAAGGTGAAGGGGCTACATGCAATACCTCGTATGCAAACCCGGAAGGTGGAGGGGTAACGAACGTTCCGAAGATATGAAGCGTTTTTTTACTGTGCTCAAGTCGCTGTTTTTACCCGACTGTCTAAACGATTCATTGCCTATAAAAAATTAACTTTGGTGTATAATCTTTCGTCTTTTCCTTCTATGGCTCTGCCATAGTTACTAGGTAAAAAATTCTGTGTGGAAAAACCAACTTGTTGAAACTTTATTGATATATGAATCCACTTTGTTGTTTGGGAGTTGCAGCTTGTTGCAACTAGGCGGCAAGAAAGTTGAAACTTAGTTCGAACTAAGTTTTTACAAAGTTTCAAGTTTGTTGCAACTTTTTGGTCGGAAATGGTTACTTCGGCATCAAACTTGCGATTGGGAGGGATTTCAAAAGGGTTAATGTATTTGATTATGATACATCTTTAGAAAGACTTTTCGACGGAAGAATCATCGAAAGTATGAAATAAATGTACTGGTACATTGAAAATTCATCGGAATGCCAATTTGAAATTGCAGAACTTTTAGACAAAATAAAAATAAGTATTCCCGCCGAATACAATATACCATTACGCACTTCAGAGAAAAGTATTAGGATACTATTACAATTTCGTCTATTTAAGGTAAAGGTACGTATGCTTAAAAAAACAGGCGACAAATTTTTAACCGCTGCCTGGTGCTCCAATCAGACGAAGTCCAAGCCTAAAGAACACCTTAAAATTGTATTAAAAGTGGCAAAAAAAATTATAGTAAAGTTTGTTGCATACCTCTTAATTCTCTTGTCGATTTATTTTTAATTTCCATTCCTTCTCATTTTCTCAATTTAAAAATAAAGTTTACAATAATGCATTTTGGTATCTTGTATTCATATCAAGGACATGTATTGAATACCGAAAGATTTTTGTCCGTTACAACGATGAAATACTTATTTTGCAGCATCAATTAATGAGAATTAGAAAGACGCGGTAGCCCGACCGCCGAGTGGAGCTTCCTCGAGGCGCGACTGCCCAGGCCCATGTCACACCCTGCATACTTGGGACCGTTTTTGAAAAGTCCTGGGGTGCCTTACAAATAAAAAAAATAATTAAAAAAAAACTGTTAAGACCATTTCTCTTCAAAATTTAATGAAGAAAAATATTATGACAGTGTCATTTTCGAAACTGTTGCCACTTTTGAGTTATTTTTGAGACACCGCCGAGAAAGGACATTTTGATGTCATATTTAGGAGAAAAATCGAGTTTTAGTGGGGGGAGAGGGGGGTACTTTATAGAAAAAATTCAACATGGTTCTTGTAGGAAAGGGGGGGGGGTATCAATAAGGGCCTTTTTTGGCCCCCTCTAGAGGACCTTTCTTGGCCTCACCTAGAATTGTGAAATTTATGTGGGTTTCCCAAGTTGACTTAATGTAGTTTACGAAAATAATCATGATTTGGTCTATAGGCCACTGGATACGTGTTAACCGGTAGCCTGAACATACGTCTGCAGGCGTATTTTAGCGAAAATGCGTGTTTTTCTATCACTATGAGGCTTTTTTGACACCGAGCGCATCGTCTAACTAAAACGAGCGTTTGATATGGTATCAAGGAGGCTTTAGGACACATTCTAACCCTGGTTTGGTTTTAGTTAGATGATGCGCTCATACTTAAATTTTTTTTTCAAAAATCGACTTTTAAGGGACATACGCAAAAATCTTAGGGAAACACGTCTCTCCAACTGTATGCTCGCTACGCATATTATCGAGGGCAGTTACCAGCCTTGTTACCTTGTTAAACTTTTACAAGGAGATTCTCTCTAATTTTAGCCCCAAAGAAAAACCCTAACGACGTAATTCCCTAATATTTTTGCAGATTTCCCTTAAAAGTTGATTTTTTTAAAAAGTTTTTTTTCAACTATGAACGCGTCATATAACTAAAACCAAACCAGGGTTATAATATGTCCTAAAACTTCCTTGATAACATATCAAAAGCTCGTTTTAGTTAGACGACGCGCTTGGTGTTAAACGAAATATCTTCAAGTTTAATTTCATGGTTGGCAATGATCAATGACGGCCGCTAGAGATGTTTAAATTTAACATAAAATTTCAGGTGGAATGCAGGATTTCAATTACGTTTGGTATGGCTGCATGGAGGTGACATTGGAGCTTTCCTGCTGCAAATATCCTCCCGCAACAGAACTTCCCAAACTGTGGGAAGAAAATCGCTTGGTAAGTTATTTTCCATTTCCTCAAAATAAGGTGCTTAAAAAAAGAAAAGGAAATAATAAAAAAACCGGCGCCCCGCTTCGCTCCGCGCCGGTTTTTGGGGGGGGCTTCGCCCCCCCAAGCCCCCCCGGGACGCGCGCTGTGCGCGCGTTTTTCAGTTTGAGTGTCCGGCCTCAGTTGTTCTGTCTTTTAAGTGACCCGCGCGTCCACCGCGGGAAGAGTGTATTTTCCGAAGGGAGGGGGGGGGGGGAGCTATCAATCTTTGGAGGTTGGATTTACGTTTACACTGTTGGAGGCATTGATTATTCGAATAAGGACTTCATGTCTCCAGATTGCAACAACAATCCTCATGTAATGTCAACAAACACTGTGGCAAGCTTGAATGACGATGGATGAATCTCCATAACCCACTGTGCGACAACATTGCCGTCTTGTTCACCAATTATCAGTCTGTAACTCAGTGTGCGGCAATATAGCCTTCAGTTCATCAGTTCGTGACCCATTGTACGACAACATTGCCGTCTTATCCACCACTTCTCAGTTCGTGACCCACTGTGTGACAACATCGCGTCTTGTCCACCAATTTTCAGTTCGTGACCCACTGTGCGACAACATTGCCGTCTTGTCCACCAACTTTCAGTTCGTGACCCATTGTGCGACAACATTGCCGTCTTGTCCACCAATTTTCAGGTCGTGACCCACTGTGCGGCTTCCCTCCTTTTGCCGCACACCCCCCGCCTAAAACTTTCAAAGCTCGCCATTTTTAAACGGCTCGACCGATTTCGCTCAAATTCAATACCAGCCTAGAACTAAGTAAGATCTTCCTTCTGTAAAAATTTCGGGGGGGAAAGCTTTTAATTTGCGCGAGTTATCGCGCCCACAAAATTGAGCCTCCCCCCACTTCTCGCCCCCACCATTCGAAATGTAATACTTCGATCTCCGTTTTTTTTTCGCAGAATGGTAGTCCTGTTCCTCTTCTTTACATCGCAAAAAGTTTCACTCGGAAATTTTTTAAAATGAGGGAAATATAACCAAGCAAAAATCGGAAAAACCACGATGAGTCGGAAATACATACATAGATAAACAGATATATAAATAAATATATATATATATACACATATAAACATGAATTCAAACGGCATGCATATTCGTAATCTACGACCCATGATCGATGCTCATTACATGGTCTTTGGTCCAGGTCTGACATCAGGGGAGAACGCAACCCTAGTGGAAGTCAGCCTTGTGCAGGTCCGTGCGGCGGAAGGCTAGGTCCGTGCAAGTCCCCGTCACCTTCCGTGAGCCCGTGCAGAGGGAAGCGAAACAAAGGCATAATTTCGGGAATCCCATCCTTCGCAGATGGCTGCACGAGGTGACGGGGACTTGCACGGACCTAGCCTTCCGCCGCACGGACCTGCACGAGGCTGACTTCCACTAGGGAATAGTGTATTTCCTTCGGAAAATACACTAAAATTAATAATATAGAAAGACCAACCGTTGCACCTGCTACCAAAATCTTGTCTTTCTTATTTTTCAAAGCCAACGTTTGGTCTTTTTGAAACACCTAAGTGTTGCTTATAGGATAGGAGTTAGGATCGGAGGGTAGAGTCCCTAAATCCATATGTATAATATGGTAAACATCAAAACTGTTTATATTAATGTTCAGAATATACTACAGTAGGTACTCTCTCTCCGTAGCGGACTTCATGGGACCGGAAGGTTATCCGGCCTACAGAGAGGGATCCGGTATATAAAGGGAGTATATTTAGTATAGGAACATCAAGAGACCGGTAGATACATCCGTTACAGAGAGTTTTCCGTTGTGGAGAGTGCCGCTATAGAGAGAGAGAGCACTGTAATTAATGATAAGTACGGGGAAAGGGCTGCAGAAATGAAGAACTTGAGGCCTCGACTTCGGGTTTTTGAGTGAGATTATTATTGGAAACCGCGTACACTTCTACACATTAGGAAGTACAAAACAAGCAGTGAACTCCAACGTAATTTGTTGATAAGGCGCGTCATTAACTCGCACACGTATCAACCCCTTTAGTTTTCATTTACAGAGATTTCAAAATAATAGGCAAGCAGCACGACAAGGAAATTCATGATCCAACACTGCGAGGTCAACGCCGCACTTTGACGAGACCGTGTATTGTGAATGTAGAAAGCCATTCGAACGAGTTTAAGTTTTTTGATCTGCCTCAAGCGAAATCTTCTCAGATTCTTGAAGAAAAGTGCTACGGAATGATTTAAAAGGAAGAAAGGAAAAACTCTGTCGAACTCCTGAAAGATTAAGTCGATTTAAAGGTAATTCGGGGCTAACAATAAAATACCCAAATCACCGTTAGTATTAATCCCGTTATGTTATTGAAAAGAAATTGACTCGATATATGTACAATTGCATTAAATAAGTCTTGATTTTGTTATTTTAAACGTATTTCCATGCAAAGCAGTTCAACCATGTCCATGCTTTATTCATTCATGAATTGAAAGTAAGCACTCTACATCCCGAAAATCTACCGATTTGCCGTAAAAAATCGCAGAACTTGATGTACCAGGTCGATGCACCCACTCGCTGAATTTATCAACCAATTTTGTGAGTGCAAATATGTAAAAATCAATACCTATGCTAAAGTCACATTTTGGGTGCATTTATTTTTCATGAAACAATAATAATTTGAATCCCGAAGAACCATCAATTTTCCGTATAAAATCGAAAAAATCGAAATGTGTCGACTCCCTGACGTGAAGATTAGACTTACGTATCGATAAGGAGAACAAAAACCATGTGTGGACACAGTCAGAAGTCCGAGGCAACATCCATTCAACAGAAAAGCGGCAAAAATTAGATCGGATTTTAGCCGCTTTGCCCGCCTCTCCTCGCCATTTACAGACCGTTCGTATACCTACTCATCTCAAAATTTTTCTCAGAGCTTTGTGTTATTATCAGCTTCCATTTAAACCCCGGTTCGATGGCCGAATCGGCTGCCCAAAAAGCAAGCCATTTTTGAAGGGCTCTATGAGAAATTCGTGATACCTATTATAGTCTCTCAGGAAATCGCCCCATAGCTAAAATTGGTGGTATAAATGTTTGAGTGCTTAAAATAATCGTATTCAAGAAACTAAGGCATTAAACTAGGGAGTCAATTTATTTTTAATAATATAACGGGATTTACTACCGGTGATATAACTATTATAGCCCCAGAACACTTTTAAAGCGCCTTCACTTTCCAGAATCTCCACGGATTTTTTTTTGCATTAAACGACTCAAGCTAGAGTACCTTTATAGACAGAGTATGGCCATTTCTGTTCCGGTTTTTCATTGGTCGCGAGCGAATAGGCTGACACGATGCTCTTAGGGCCGTAAATAAACAAACAAGATGGCTGTTATCAGCAAGCAAGATTGAGGTTATGCACATCTTACATCCTCCTGTGATAAAGGTGAAAGGCGATTTAACAATGTTTTATTGTGTTTTTCGTGTGTTATTCGTAGATATGCTAGTTTAAAATGTTACTGCCGTATAATTGACATTTTTGTCAAATTTAGCTTCTTATCGATGTTACGGTGAGCCGCCATCTTGTTTGTTTATTTACGGCCCTAAGAGCATCATGAAGCCTAAAAACTCGTTGACCAATCAAAAAGCGGAACAGTTTTCCTGTAGCAAAAAGATACGAATGGCCATACTCTGTCTATAAAGGTACCTACTCTAACTCAAGCAACACTGTAGTTAAAAAAAAAAATATAAAGAATTTTCGATTTGGACGTATTAAAAAATGTTTAACTCACTCAGGCACACCGTGTATTGTATGGAGTACTGCTGCTATTCGATCCTTGTCTTTGGGTTAAAATTTTTACAAGGAAGCCCCTCGCAAGAAACGAATTTTTTGTAATTTCCCCCAATTTTTTCTCCATTATATTATTGATTTACTTGTCAAATTCGGAGGTCAATTATATTTATAATATTTATACACTTCTTTTTTCCCCTTCATTTTATTTTATGTATGGAGAAGGCGAGGTTTTGTTGATTTATTCAGATTTCGAATACTGTAACTTCTCTTCTATTCGACCGATTTTTATGAATGAGGCATCTTTTTATTCGTGTTTTATCGGAGAGTAAGGAAAAAAATTGGTAATTACACGCAAAACAATCTTTTTTTTGAAAATTGGATGAATCCTAGCGTGACGGTGAAATGGTTAATCAAGAGTAAGTAATAGGGGGAGGTTCTCAGCCGCGCCGGGACTCAAGTCCATTGTTCCTCTGTAGACGCCGACGCAGTGATCAGGCGCGTGGGGAAGAGGGGTAAGTGGATTCCTGTATGAGTCACGTTTAGCAAATGGTCTAATGAGTCTCGAGGCTTATCACAAATTGCACTTACGGCTGCCCTGGCTATCAAAGCAGTGGCACCAAATTTTGAAAATCATAACAGGGATGTAGAGATCTGTCAAAGCAACGTTTTAAACAAAACGGAGGAGTGAAATTCTCATACGAAGAGTGCTGAACTGCTTAGCCATCCTCGAATCAGTTCGTTTGCTTCTGCTTATAAATGCATATTTTAAATTAGCGCAGAGCATTCTTAGGTTTTAAAAAAAAAAAAAATAAAAAAAAACAAAAAAAACAAGTAACGTAGACTGTTGGTACTCATTGCACATAAACTAGAAAGCCCCAGAATGACAAAAAATCTGAAATCATAGTTATTGACGGATAGTAAACTTTTTACACTTTTTGGAAAACCTTAGAAGTTCGCGCCAGTCTTTTTTCGGCAACGAACTAAGGGACTCGGTTATTGTATCGAGTAGGGCGTCGAAACGATCGCCAAGACGGTATACTACATACATATACGCGCCAACAATTGGGTGTTTTTATTACCTTGATCTCTGAAACACATTACTAAGTACTCAGTTTCACACGAATCAATTTCTTAGGCACCAATATTGCGTTTTAGGCCTTATTGGCCATCTTGAGGCTCTGAATTTGGAAAGTTTGACGTCATATTCGAGTTTTTCC